TGATGGGCTTCACCCACTGTTTCGCAAGTCACTTGCAACCATCTTCTCTCCTGTCGTGACTGACCTTTTCAACAGGTCGCTGTCCGAAGGTTTATTGCCGGTTGACTGGAAATGTTCGGTGGTGAAGCCTATTTCGAAAGGCGACGACCCTAGCAAAGTAGACAATTACAAGCCAATTTGTCTGACACCTATTTTGGCAAAGGTTGCTGAGAAAATCATGAAGAAGGGATTGCTGCAGTTGCTACAGTCAAACTAAGTCCTGCCGCCCGCACAGCACGGTTTTATGCAAGGTCGCTCATGCATTACGAACCTGCTTGTGACGAGGCATGAGTGGTTGAAGGCAATAAGTAAGGGGAAGTCCGTCGACGTGATATTCATCGATTTCAGTAAGGCGTTCGACAAGGTCAGCCATGAGGTTCTCCTTCACAAACTCAGCATGTGTGGTGTCGGTGGCTCACTGCACCGGTGGATCCGCGACTTTCTTGTTGGATGAAAGTGGAGGGTACAGGTCGATGACCATCTAACTGACTGGTATCCCTCTACAAATGGCGTGCCTCAAGGCACTGTGCTGGGGCACACTCTGTTCCTGATCCACATCAACAATCTACCGTAGCTTCTCCGGTCGCCGTGTGCCTTGTTTGCTGACGACATGAAGATTTGGAGAGAAATCGACGCTCCCGATGACTGTGGCCTACTTCAGCAAGACCTCAACCGCCTATCCACATGGTCTGCAGAAGTTCTTCTCCCGGTCAACGCAGCCAAGTCTGTATTTATGAGCCCGGGGAAGGGTGCCAACGGCCGAAACTACACCCTTGACGGCCAAACCGCTATATCCCACACCCTCCGTGAAGGACCTAGGTGTACTCTCACGCTACGATTTGAAGTCGGTGGACAACACGAACAGGCTATATCGTAACCGACTGCGCATGCTTTGGGCGCTCAAACGTAGCTTCGGCACATGGTCTGAAGAGGTTGCCACTCGCCTCTTCTCTTCCATCATTAGACCAATGCTAGAGTACGGTTCGCCCGCCTACTTTCCGATTACCCGAGGCGAGGCATAAAAGATCGAACGGGTCCAACACGTTGCTACCAGGCTGAACCCGGGTTTACGTGGCTTTGGGTATGAAGACCGGTGCGAGAAACTAGGACTCTACACCTTGTCCTACCGTCGGGTGCGATTCGACCTCATTATGACCTACCGTATTCTACATCTCGGTGACTTCCCAATGCTAAGGCCAATGCTGTACTTACGAGGGCAATGAGGCACACGCGGACACAGATACAAACTTGTCGTTCGGATGTGAAACGTGTTCCCCACCAACTGTGCTTCGAACGGAGAGTGCTAAACATTTGGAACAGTTTGCCTGAACATGTAGTTGAGGCAACATCTGTGCAACAGTTCAAAACGTTGTTAGCTTTGTATTTTGCCACTATTCGATTCAGAGAACGACTGCACACTTACGATGACATATCGCATTTGTGAATCCTGAAATATCGTAAGTCGAATATTTTAAATATTACATGAGAACGACAATGATATTCACGGTTAATAACTTTTATAACGTTTTTCACCATATTTCGAAAGAGTTGTACAGAATCCATTTCTACTTGCTCTATAATACAGTATTCAGTACTCAGACAGTGATTCGCAGTGAAGCGAACCTTGGCCAATTCGGTCACTGGGACCGTAGTCGAAGCGTAGAGGAATTGGGGGTTGCCCTCTTAAAAGCATTTTATGCCATTACCCGTTTGATCTCATCAAGCAGCAAGTCTAGCACGACCTTGCTTTGCGTCACCAAATTGCGCCTTAGCATCCGGTCGCTTCGCCTCACAAACATCTGCGCATTTCCGGGTCTTAGAATTTGTAGGCAGAAGGCATCACCAAATCATGATGTTCTGTTGATGTTCGTAAGGCTGACAAATTCTTTTTTTATCAACAACGGCCTGAAATTGTCACCTACACGCACCATGTTCAACCTTTTTGTGGAAAACCTCACTGAACAACAGCTTTCGACCGTGGTTTTCAAATATTGGTCATCGTAGCACGTCGAAGTGAGTCGCTTAACTATCCGTCATCAACCTGCTCATTTGATTACTCTGGCGCCTACAGAAGCAATTTAACCGCATAGCTGCGACCGTATGTACTGAACAGCTCACATAACTGCACTTAATCCAACGACCTGTAGACGACCGTAATGGTGGTGACACACGAGCAATGGGTAAAATTCTATCAATCGATACATCCAACCCAAGGCAACCTAGCTTTGTGACTACCTTAAGCTATCTGACTGATAAAACGCACCACCGGACACCATACTTCTGTTAGCTGGTATCGTGACAAGGCTTGAGTGAATGATGAAGATCCCGTGGTCACAGCGTTTAAACATGGTGAAGTACACGCGTTTTTCGCTATCGGTGAAGTTGTTGGAACTACGTTTACTGGACTTAACGTAGAGGATGTGGAGTTGATTCCAAGTGATCTACTCCCTTTGGAGGCTGTCGACGATCTTTGCTCTGATCTGTGACAGTCCGTAAATCAATTTTGCGGCACTGATAGAATAACACTGGTTGTCAGTCGTTTCGGGCTGTGTGAAACTCTTTCAAGATTGGTATGTACCAACCCTTCACAGACCCTTTGTGGAGATAAACAAGAATTTGCTCAACAATCCATCAAGCAAGGCAGCTATATCAGTGCCGGTGTGGTAGAACAGGAGGCCGCAAAGTATGTAGCCAAATCTTGTGGCACTTTTGCTAAAGCACCCCACTTATGACGCCGGTGCGACAACATCCTTCACCTGAAGCGCAGAGTCGACGACGACGTTGGTGAAACCTGACCCATAATGTCGACGCTAGTTGTGTCCGACCACTGAGAACTTCGAAGTGTAGCTCACCTCTGGTGCGACAGTAAGTGAGCAATAAACGTGCTCACCGTCTTGGTAACGGCGCGGGAAGTGCAAGGGAGCCGCTCACCACCGTTAGATCGCGCACCAACTTGAGATGGCCGGGCCAGATAGTGAGCATGGCACCACTGACTCCCGCAATGTGTCGTTCGCTTGGCCCCTAGTCCTCGGTTTTCCAGATATGTTACTATGACTTTACTTTGATTTTAATTCAATCTGTTTATTGTCCAGATTCCGTTAATTTCGTTTTTGATAATGATAACTACGAATGGAAAAGTGGACGGTACGTGTCACGTTTTATGTGAATTTCTGAGAGTTTTTGTTTCGGCATGCAAGTATTGTGAAGAACGATTATGCGGCCCGTGAAGTCGTTTTCGTTAGTCATCCAATCAGCTGTGAAAAAACTTTCGTTATCCCTGAGGCAGTAAGTTGATGTGCGTTTTGTCAACGAACTGAGCAGGTGTGGAAGTCCTTCCTGAGAGCAAGTGAAAACAGCACCTTCGTTGGGTTTGTGGTGGGGCAGCCATTTTGTACGGAGACGGAACACAATGAGTAGCCGTAGATAGTGTGTGAGTGAGTGTGAGTAGCCGTAAATAGGAAGACCACGAAAGTCGTTGCTGCTGGAATTCGGAGCAGGCGCAACCAGTGAGTCCAGACCGAGCAACGTGGTCTTGATGGAAGCAGCCGACACCAGGTCACGATCGGCTACCGGTATCGAGCCTGAACCGAAAACATCGGGGAATGCATCCGTTCAAATCAGGCAAAAACGTTGGTATTGGCGTATCAATGATTGACCCGAAGCGAAGTGATGCCGCCATGACTGAGCGAATCACGAGCTATCGAATGAACCTTGGCCAGCCAGAATAGGATAGACAGAAGCGGATATCTTGGGTGAACATGCAGCAATTATTAATGGTCGCAGACTGGCTGGGCGCATCGATGTGTCGCGAGCGGACCTCAGTCAATGTTGTGCATTGTTGGAAGGGAAAAGACTGATACCAGTTCGACTGCGCTAGTAGTTTGATTGACTGTGGTCGCCACAATAGAAAATCTGCTTTATTACCGCGTCGTTCTGTTAAAATTTGACCTATGCCCCACCGTCCATTGTTTACAAACGCAATGAGCGCGAGACGCACAAACTTTGGTCTGCGTCATTGGTTATAATCCTAGATAGAAAGACTGCTTCTGTTATGTTATCACACTTGGTTTCGCTACACAAATCAACCAAGTGATATAAAGAGTTGTAAGAGGTACTTAAGTGTAAGAGGCCAGTGCTATTATAGTTGAGAATGTAGGGATCTTGAAAGTATTGCGAGCTATTATGTTGACGTCATTATGATTACAGAATGTGCATAAAAGGATGTGAATGGGTCAGGTGGCTTTTGGTATTGGGTGAATTTTCGGTTTCGAGCTCAGTAGTTTACAACTGGACATGGTTCGAGAAGCTGCATGAAAACCTAGTACAGGAGATTATTGACCATACCCAAATGATGCAGGTATCGGGGTACTTCCTAGGAGATAATGTGGTGCCGAACATACCGATGTAGCGTGTGATAGTATTAACTTAGAACTTTGCGTGTCCACAGTCATAACGATGCACAACATAGCCTGCGTTGAAAGAAGCTGGCCCTTTTGTACATGTGAACAGGTGAATGAACATGGATTGAGGAGAAGGGCCGTGTAGGGTGCAGATGCTCAGCGGCGCACTAAGTCATGTGTTATAAAAGTGTGTAATACGGGAATGATGAGGTTCCTACGTTACTACGTTTTTTGACTTACGAGGCCTATGAAGCCATCATTGCACACTCCTGCCACCTTGTTATGCGCTGCCGCATAAGAGAGAAACAGTCCATTCTGTTCTACCTACTTCAAGACACCGCATGACCAAGCCTCTAAGCGCCAAAAAAACAGTGGACAACGATTGATCATTCCGAGTGCATATTTAGAATCGACACTCACGAAAATCACACCCATGTTGGTCCTGGCCGAGTGCACCGCGACCTGATCAATAGTTCCTGCGACTCTCATCAGGCTATTGCGCAGTTCCGGAGTGATTTCTGGTATGCACCTTTAGATGCACTTGCGTCGAATATAAATCTCCCATTGAACATCACATACTGTCCATCAGCTCTGAAGCATGCCGCGCTCAGTTCTGATCCTCTGGTTGGCTGTACTGTGGGCCATTGGTGCAGCAGGATACCGAGGATATTCCTACGGAACAGGCGATGCTGTGCACCTAATTGATCAGTACAAGGGTTACTCCTCAGGCACGCATGACCCTTACATTCCTGATGACTACGGCAACGGTTACGACAGTTATGGAGATGGGTATGTGCTAGAAGACTACGGGAGTGATGACAACGTGGCCTACGTATTGGTGGATGATCGGGATCCATATGGCCAATACGGTGCTGTATCGTATGCTCCTTACGACCAGTATGGCACATATTATTCGGAATACGAACCTTACGGTGATGACAACGCGTATACTACAGAGGACGGTTACCCGTTGGCTGCTTATCACCCTGAAGAGACCTACGGTTCGTACGAAAAATATGATCGTTATGGAGCAGATATGTACGGCGGCTACGACAAACCAACGCCGCGTGTGAAATATGACACGTACGACAAATACAAAGGTTATGATGAGTATTTGCCAAGCGGCAAGTATGATGACTACGAGGATTACAATTATGACAAGTACGGAGCGCACGGTGATAAATCGGACAAGCTGTACGACAATGCCTATTACGGATACGGCGGTCATGAAGGCTATGGTGATAAGTATGATTCCTACGACGCGGATCATGATGATTACGACTACAAACCACATCCCCATTATGAGTACGAAGATGGAAAATATGAACCATTAAATTGGGATGATTACACCTATGCGGAACCGTACGGAGCCTATGGAACAGTGGGAAAAGCTGAAAAGTACGATTCCGACGGTGGATACACAACGTACGAAAAGGAGTTCGAAGTACAGAAATACGGAGATAATGCTAAATACGGCGGGTACAATGACTACATTTATGCAAAATACAAATCACCGATTGTTGATGATTCTAAGGCATATCGTCATAAGTATTATTCGATGGGCCAAGGGTACAAACGGTTCAAACCTCGTGTATCCGGTAAACATTATGATACGTATGATGGGAAGTACGATGGATTGATTACTTATGGGCCAGTTCACACAAAGAAGCATGAAAGTGTGTACGACCACTATGACTATCAACCTCAAAAATATGATGATCAATATGACATTAAGCCGACCGATGGTTATGACTATAAACCATATTACGAAAGTGTAAATGAGAAATCTGCCGAGCATTACGGCGAGCACGACGGACATGGTGAAGGAAAATTCTACGGTGCTTACGACCACTATGGCAAACATGATAAGTATGGACACGACAGTCTGCATGGAGAGTACGGGACAGATGGACATCTGCATGTGAACGACAAACTCCTACACGATGATCGGTACAAGATGTATGGTGGGATTCGAGGAAATGGGAAGATGTCTGGTTTCCAAGAGTCCGAGAAAGGCTTAAAGTACGAGGAAGTAACTTCATTCCATCAAGGTGGGTCGGTGGATACTTACGGTAAACACAAGAAACGCTACGGAGGATATGACACACAGGGCAAAATCAAACAGTACGGTGACGAGTTCTTACGGCGGAAACATGCCATCCAAGGCGAACTGAAAGCCAGAGGTAAGACTGGTCGCTACAGTGATGAAGATGCGAAGGCCAAATTCTCACTTCATACAAGAATTAGGGATTATGGAAAAGAAAACCAATACGGCAATCGCAAGATCTATGGAAACAAGCGGGGAGGAGAGGAAACCGAGTTTTACGGTGAATGGAAGGGTCACGGCGGTTTTGGTTCTTATGACAGAGAAAAAGGTCACAGAGACCTTGATGATTACGGAACCTACTAGTGTTTGGTACAACAGGTACAATGTGTATAGTGATACTGGTGACTTTTCAACTCTGTCAGGTGGGGAAATGGTGTCGATTGCAGTCGAAAGCATGGGAACTGTGGAGACTTCAATGGCGATCCCGTTTAGAGACGATCGAAGCCATTCTGCTTAAACTTCGCGTTAAGCATCGTTGCAGCTGGATGGGAACTTCTGTTAATTGGGTTAAGCCATCTGTAACTGGTATGCTATTATTGTCACGAAATTGATGAGCAATTTACTTGTTACGGGATCAGGAAAAATATTCAAGCTAGTTAACATCGACTAGTGACAATCCGGCATTCTTACTGATTCCCAGAACCTGTGCATGCACTGAAATCGGGAATATGGTCAGCAACATGACGAATTAGCCAGCGGAGTAGGCAAATTGATCAGGAGCCCGGTGACAACTAGGATGGCCGAGGGTTACGGCATCAGCAACTTACCATGAGATAGCTAAACTTGATTGATCAAGTGAATGCAGTCAAGTAAGCTATTGCTCACTTGTCCGTTATTCGGCTTAGCTTGGCCGAAACCGGGCGCCACTAGAGGACAGACTGCTAGACTTTAAGCACGCATCTGTTTCGGGAATAGAGTGGAACATCCGTCGCGTAAGCGGACACCCCTACACGAAACTTCTGGTGTACGGAAGGATATCCTTACTGCGTTTACACCTTTCATAGCCATTTGAATCAACCTTATGCGGCCGCACAGGGTGACTTGCAACCACACGTGGTTTAAGACCATCGGCTCATCTTGTAATGATCTAGTATTGGATGCATCGACGCCAATCGAAGGACAAAACGTAGCCTTCGTATTGAGCAAAGATCTGTTATTCATGAACTCAAGAATAATTTGTCGTACGCAGAAGTGCTACCCCAATGAAGCGATTCACAGCAGTTGATCCCTATTTTCGTCTTAAGTAATGCGAATAAATTCCTTTGCCCGCGATTTCCGTTTGCTAATTGGCACTCCGTCTGATCCGCAACTCTACCGTGTAGGGCCACCTTGAAACTCATGCATTCTAAGTCGAACTAATTCTGGATTGTCTGTGCAACCTGTGCAATTATAATCAGTTTTATGGATAAAATTTGATTGGTTTTTGCACCTAATAGTCCCATTTCAGTTCTGGTAGCTCGAGTAACCGGATATCATCATGGCGGGTACTGTTTAATGTCCTATAATCACTACAATAGCTAAAGAAACCATACTCTGGGTCATCAGGCGTAGAATTTGCAGGGGATATTTTGGCACCAGACCAACTATAAAGAAGCTCATACTAATCGCATTTTAGAGTAAAGTCATGCAGCTGCTGGAAGAAGGTGGTCGCTCGATTCTCCACTGACTGATCCAACGCTCTGGCCGACGTCAACACTGCAAAGAGCAGCTCGGCAATCTGAAGTCGCCATCGGCAAGCATGAGTAGACGGTGAAGTTGACTCGATTTGCCATGAACCGACTGTCAGATAGTGGCAACCGAATAAAGAGCCGTAATCTCGGTTGTCCATCACAATGAGGCTGGACCTTACCGTGGTGCGATGGTTTGTGTGACTAAGCGATCCATTGAGTTATACTGGGTGATGCTTTTGCACCTTCAGAGTTACTCATACAAGAATAGTCAATGGTTAGAGGCCACACAAACTCAGCCTCCTGGTCCTCCAGGATGGGGGTTGAAATGAGGGTGGCACCTTATTCCTTAAAACGGACTCCTTGTAGCCCAACGCCAAACCCGCTGCCTTGCGGTAAGGTTTTTGAACCAAAGGCTTTGGTTGAGAACCCTAATCATTCTCCTGTCTAGGCCTGGGCAAACCTGACAGTATCCTGCCCACGCAATACTATGAATCATTCGTCAAAAAATTTCTTGATGCTCTGGCCACCGCAGAGGATAATCGACGGTGCCCTATCTGCTGCATCGAGTAGGGTGGATAGGGGTTTGGATGCTACTGCTCAAGCCTTCCCGTCTTCTTATTCCCCGCTTACGCTTTTTCACTCTTACCGTCCCGTTCCAACTTCACTTATATCCCCCCAGATTTTAATCCCCCGATTCTTGGCCCTCCCCCAACGTGCTTCGGTAGGCGTTTGTCTTCTAGTTTCAACTCACATGCGAACGCGGAGCGTCAATCCTCTCCTGTCGACAAGCCCATGTCTAACCAAGCGGTCCATTACATTTCATCGGCTTCCATTTGGAGCCCTCGATCGTCCTTCAGATTGACATGCCTCAATGTACGCATATTACTACAGATCGGTCAACAGGCAGCACTTGCCCGAACATTGGGGACCCTCTCGATCGATATCTGCTGCTTATCGGAGACCCGTCAGCAAGACGCGAGCTCTGTGCTCATTCTGCGATCCCCATCAAGTGACACTAGCAGTATTTTCTCATTGCGCCTATCCGGTGACGATGCAGCTTCGAGCACCGGCCAAGCTGGTGTTAGCATTGCCCTGAGCCCGCGGGCTGAAGCTGCTCTGGTTGATTGGATTCCAATCAGTAACCGGATGTGTACGGTCCCATTCGCTGGCTCGTTCAAAGCTTCGAAGTCGCTCGGGACTAATAGGTGTCTATTCATCATCGCTGCCTATGCACCCACAAACTGTAGCGATGATTCGGTAAAAGACGACTTCTATCGCCAATCGAACGAGCTCCTTCGCCACAGAAGGAGCACGGACACTGTTGTGCTTTCTGGGGATCTGAACGCTCAAGTTGGAAAGTTGTCCACTGATGAAACGCATCTGGGCGGCCAACATGGTATAGGCTCCCGTAATGATAACGGTGAGCGGTTACTTCATTTGTGTGATGCCCGCCTATTTCTTGCGAGCACTAACTTCCGACGCAGCACCAAACGGTGGGTGACTTGGCGCCCACCAGCCTCGAACCAGCTATGGACGCAGATCGATCACATTGCGATAAGTTACCGATGGAGAGGCTGCGTCAAGAACCGTCGCTCGCTTTGGAGCACATGTGTGGAAACCGACCATGAACTTGTATGCGTTGACCTGCGGATGCGTTCTGGCAAACACCCACGACGACGTTGTGAGCGCATTGACACCAGCCAACTTGCGAAGTCAGCTGTTCTGAGTGCGCATCGAATTACGCTGACGTGCGGATTGAGTAAGCGCTCACTGGAGAAAATTGATGGTCACTGGTCGCATGTTCACCAGACCTTACTAGCAGCAGGCAAAGCCTCACGTGGTGTGTCTAATAGCCAACATGGACATTGGGTCTCTTCTCGGTCTCTGGAACTTATCGACGCTCGCCAGCATATCCCGGTTGGAAGCGAACACAATGAAAGTCGCAAAGAGCTCCGTGCAAAACCCCGTGCTAGTCTGAAGAGAGACCGCGAATCTTGGTGGTCTCTTCGTGCGTCAGAGATGGAAGTGGCCGCTGCCCTTGGCAACCATCGTAAGTTATTCCGTTTGATACGGAAAACGGGCAGCAGGAGACCTGGTGTTAGTGAAACTATAGGTGATGAAAGTGGACAGCCTATCCACAATTTGTCAAAACGTTTGGAGCGTTGGGCTGAGCACTTTGAAAAGCAATTTAATCGGTTAGAATTCTTCGATTCTTCGCCGGCCAGTGATCGTCTTGCACCGTGGGCTGTCTCTTTGGATCCACCCTCTCGCTCAGAAGTCGAACGTGAGCTCGGACTGTTGAAGTTGAACAAAGCCGCTGGACCAGACGATCTACCTCCAGCCCTCTTCAAATTCGGAGGTTCTACTCTTGTTGATGCTTTACATGAATTACTAGTGAAACTGTGGGAGCAGGAGACTGTACCCAACCGACTGGAGCCGCTCCATTATTGTTTTCATCTTCAAAGGAGGCTCGTGTTCGGAATGCGGCAACCATAGAAAAATCAGGCTGATCTCCATCGCCTCCAAATTACTCGCCTCCATAATTCTTCACAGGCTGACTGGCGCTCATGAAAGCCAGATTCGTGAGGAGCAAACCGGGTTTCGTCCGGGTCTTGGCTGCATCGACTACATCTTCGCCATGCGGCTGTTGTTGGAGCATCGTCACACATATCGGTGGCTCACCGTAGTCGTGTTTCTCGACATCAAAGATGCCTTCGATTCGGTTGATTGATGTGCCCTTTGGTATTGTCTACTCAGGAAAAGTGTGCCCGAGAAATATGTACATATTATCCAAGCATTATACGCGTGTAGCACGAGCAGAGTGAGGGCTTACGGCAAGCTATCGCCACCCTACAATATCTCCAGCGGTGTGAGACAAAGATGCCCGCTGTCACCTTTCCTCTTCAACTTCGCCATTGAGGAAGTCATGGAGGTTGCATTTACAGGACATGACTTGGAAGGTGTGGAGCTACTCCCAGGAGAACGACTTCTTGTCTTGGAGTATGCAGACGATATTGCCCTCATCTGTGACAGCTCCCAGACGTGCCGAGCCGTGCTGGACAGATTAGCACTGGCTGTCAGCCGCTTCGGGCTTTGCTTTGCACCATCGAAATGCAAAGCGTTCCTCCAAGATTAGCAGGGATCGCCTCCTTCGCTGCCCCTTGTTAAGGATCAGCTAGAAGTCGTTCAAAAATTCAACTACCTGGGAAGCGCCCTTGGGATTGAAGACGAGATCACGAACCATATAGCAAAAGCTGGAAGTGTTTTGCTAACCTTCGTCACCCATGGTGGCGGCGCGACATCGCTCCTGCCCTGGAGGGTAGACTGTACAATGCAGCGGTAAATTCGATCCTACTGTACGGTTGCGAAACCTGGCTCCTAAGATCGGCGGACATGAAGAGGCTAGTTACGTTCGACCATCGGTGCTTTCGCAGTTTGGCTCACATCTGGTGGGAACACCGCGTGACTAACGAGCGTGTTTGACGCCTTGTTTCCGGCACAGAAACAGAATCTGAACCGCTCAGCGCCGTCATTCCACGCACCAGGATCCGATGGCTCGGCCACGTGTTATGCATGCCAGCCCACCGACTTCCACGACGTGCGTTGTTTGCTCACCGGGGATGTGGATGGAAGAAGAGGATGGTTGGTCAAGCGATGACTTGGTCCA